AAACTGTATTTAATAATATTAAGCCTCATGATGAATGTATCCATTTATTGCATAGGCGTTTGGGGCATGTAAATTTTAAAATGCTAAAACGTACAGTTGAGTTATCTGAAGGAATAAGGTTAAAACCTTGTGATAAATATTTGCGTTGTAATGTTTGCTGTGAAGATAAGAGCAAGGTATTGCCTGCAAATAGGTTAAATGGTTTCAAAACAAAAGAACCTTTAGAAGTAGTATTTGCAGACATAATAGGTCCAAAGAAACCCAGTATGGGGGGTGCTAGATATATACTGAGCATTATGGACCATTATTCTAGATATGGGTTTTGCTATTTAATGAAAAGCAAAACTGAAACATATCAACATTTTTTCAATTGGCTTAGGTTTGCTGAAAGAAAGTCTAAACGACAACTGATAACCCTGGTGACAGATAATGGTACGGAATTTATTAATAACAAATTCCAGAACAGACTTAAGGTAGCTGGAATAGAGCATAAGAAGTCTGCTCCATACAGGCCAGAACATAACGCTTTTATTGAAAGAAGAGGCCAAACACTACAGGCAATGGTTAGAACAATGTTAAATGATTCTGGGTTACCTGATTCTTTGTGGGGGGAGGCTACAATGTGTGCTAATAACATATTGAACAACGTTGTTAATACAACAACAGGTGAAATTCCATTCACCAGATGGCATGGCAGGAAACCTGATCTAAGTTACCTGCACACATTTGGTGCACCAGCATGGGTGCATATTCCTGCACAACTCACAAAAAAAGGGCAACATAGAGCTAAAAGATTTTTCTTCGTTGGTTATCAGGCAAACCATAGGGCATATAGATTTTGGGAGAAAGGCACATCTAAAGTGTTATGTAGTGCTAGTGCCCAATTTCTAGAACATGAAGGATGGGAGAAATCAGAACAGGATGTCAATCCCTAACACTTATTTCATATTCTATCCTATTCTATCCTATGTTGTATATTCTATTCTATATTCTATTCTATTCTGAATCCTATTCTGTCCTATTCTTATTTCATATTCTATCCTATTCTATCCTATGTTATATTTTCTATTCTATATTCTATTCTATTCTGAATCCTATTCTAGCCTATTCTGTTCTTATTCCATATCCTATCTTATCTTATCCCATGTTATATATTCTATTCTACATTCTATTTCTATTCTGAATCCTATTTGAGCCTATTCTATTCTTATTCCATATTCTATCCTATCCTATTCAATATTATACACTGCTCATAAAAAAATAAAGAGAACACTTAAACAACACAATGGAACTCCAAGTCAATCATGCTTCTGTGAAATCAAACTGTCCCCTTAGGTAGCAACACTGATTGACAGTCCATTTCACCTGGTGTTGTGCAAATGGAATAGACAACAGGTGGAAAGCAGAGGCAGGTAGCAAGACATCCCCAATAAAGGAGTGGTTCTGCAGGTGGTGACCACAGACCACTTCTCAGTTTCCTATGCTTTCTGGCTGATGGTTTGGTGACTTTTGAATGCTGGCGGTGCTTTCACTCTAGTGGTAGCATGAGACGGAGTCTACAACCCACACAAGTGGCTCAGGTAGTGCAGCTCATCCAGGATGGCACATCAATGCGAGCTGTGGCAAGAAGGTTTGCTGTGCCTGTCAGCGTAGTGTCCAGAGCATGGAGGCGCTACCAGGAGACAGGCCAGTACATCAGGAGACGTGGAGGAGGCCGTAGGAGGGCAACAACCCAGCATCAGGACCGCTACCTCCGCCTTTGTGCAAGGAGGGACAGGAGGAGCACTGCCAGAGCCCTGCAAAATGACCTCCAGCGGGCCACAAATGTGCATGTGGCTGCTCAAACGGTCAGAAAGAGACTCCATGGGGGTGGTATGAGGGCCCGACGTCCACAGGTGGGGGTTGTGCTTACAGCCCAACACCGTGCAGGACGTTTGGCATTTGCCAGAGAACACCAGGATTGGCAAATTCGCCACTGGCGCCCTGTGCTCTTCACAGATGAAAGCAGGTTCACACTGAGCACATGTGACAGACGTGACAGGGTCTGGAGATGCCGTGGGGAACATTCTGCTGCCTGTAACATCCTCCAGCATGACCGGTTTGGCAGTGGGTCAGTCATGGTGTGGGGTGGCATTTCTTCAGGGGGCCGCACAGCCCTCCATGTGCTCGCCAGAGGTAGCCTGACTGCCATTAAGTACCGAGATGAGATCCTCAGACCCCTTGTGAGACCATATGCTGGTACGGTTGGCCCTGGGTTCCTCCTAATGCAAGACAACGCTAGACCTCATGTGGCTGGAGTGTGTCAGCAGTTCCTGCAAGACGAAGGCATTGATGCTATGGACTGGCCCGCCCGTTCCCCAGACCTGAATCCAATTGGGCACATCTGGGACATCATGTCTCGCTCCATCCACCAACGCCACGTTGCACCACAGGCTGTCCAGGATGCTTTAGTCCAGGTGTGGGAGGAGATCCCTCAGGAGACCATCCGCCACCTCATCAGGAGCATGTCCAGGCGTTGTAGGGAGGTCATACGGGCACGTGGAGGCCATACACACTACTGAGCCTCATTTTGACTTGTTTTCAGGACATTACATCAAAGTTGGATCAACCTGTAGTGTTTTTTTTCCACTTTAATTTTGAGTGTAACTCCAAATCCAGACCTCCATGGGTTGCTCAATTTGATTTCCATTGATAATTTTTGTGTGATTTTGTTGGACCCTCGCCTGGGCTGCTGGAGGGACCCCCCCATTCCCCCTAACACCCCCCTCCCCATCAGTCCGGAGGTGGGGGACTGGGGACCCCCAACCGGAACCCCCAAGCCCAGCAACGCTCGCCGGAGGGGCTTCTCCCCAAGAGGAGGGGGGGAGCCGGGCCCCCCTCCCTTTCCAGCCCCTCCGCAGCAGAAGCTTCCCTGGAGCGGAGGGCTGCGGGGGAACCCCCAGAGGTCATCTGGCCGGACCCCGGGGGCAGGATCCACGGCCCTTCGCGGCCTCCGGGCAGACGCTCGCGGGAACCTTCCCCTCCCCCCCCACCCGCGAGCGACGCTCCCGCGGAGGACGCCCTTTGCAGCCGGCGGGGGTCAAGCCGGGGAAATCCCACGGGGACCCCGGCGGCGGGCTGCAACAACCCGCGACTGCGCACGCGTCCCCACCGCTCCCGCACCGGGCTGGTGCGCACGCGCGGCCGTAGAGAGAGAGCGTGAGAGCGAGGTGGGGGGAGGGAGAAAAAGTGAGGCGGAGCATGCGCAGTCGGCATCTCCGGGCGTCGCGGGAGCCATGCTGATTTTCCGCCCAAAGCGAGACTCGGACGGGGGCGGGGGCCGCCGGAAGGGGGCCGCGCCGGCGAGCCGTTTTTTCGGGACTCGGTTCATTCGCCGGCCGGCTGCGCGCGGCGGGGGAGGCGGAAAGAAACGGTCCTCCGGCAAGCATCCGGGCTTTTCGGAACGACGGGCCGCGACGAGGTCACGTGACGGCGGGGGTCCAATCGGATGGCGGTGACGTGAGGCTTTTCTCCCGCCCGCCCATGGCGGCCGCGGCAGCGCTTGGTAGGATTTTTTCGCTTCACCAACTCCATGGAGGAGAGGTTGTTTTTTTTTCCCCACCCTCGTTGTTTGTTTCCCGCTCCGGCGACGCCGTCGGGCGAGCGGGCAACGCGAATTCCTGCCGCCTTTCGCCTCCCGGGCCCCTCCCGTTCGTGGCGGCCAATGGGGAGGGCGCTCCGCGGTCACGTGACGGCCGCCTCGAGTTGTCGGGGGGCGCTGAGGGCGTCGGGGAGACTCCGGCGGGGCCTCAAAACAACGGCCAATGGGACGGGGGGGGGGGGGAAAGATTGATGGAATCAGCGAAGGGACTGAGGGGAGGCGAATTAGCGGTCATTTCCCCCCCCCCCGTTCAAGATGGAAGCGCTCGTGGAAGCGCTGCGTCATGGCATTCAGGCGAAGGTGGGGAGGGGGAGGTAGCTCCCTTCAGGCCCGGGGACCCGCCCCGAACGGAAATGACTCAGCCGCGGCATTTGGCGGCCCTTCCCCGCGGAGCGCGCCGGCCTGCGTTGGAAGGCCGAGACGCCCCCGTGGGCTTTCTAGGTGAGGGATTCCGTTGAGGCGGCTCGGCCGAGCCCCTGCCGTTTAGCATCTTTTGTGGCTGAGGCGGCTGAGGGGAGTTTCGGGTTTTGGCGGGAAGCGCCGATTGGGGCGGGCTAGGCCCGCTTTCCCGCCTGGACGCTTCATTTGCCCTGGTGGAAGGGACTGTTTCGAAGGGAGGAAAAGGACGGCGGCGGGGACGGGCCGCGGCGGCCGTTGCCCCCACCTGTCACCCTGATTCTCCCGCTGTCCAAAATGGCGCCTCTGCCGTCTCCCCTCCCTTCCCCCAGCGGTGAGCCGAGGACGACAACAGCCAACGGCCGCTCTCCTCTGGCCGTCCCGCCCCCGCGCGGCGCGGGGACCAATCGGGAGACAACGAATGGCAGCGAGGCCCAATGCGCGAGCCGGCCGCCGGAGTCGGGGGCGCTGGAGGGGGCGGCAAGCGGCAGGGTGATTGACTCGAGTCTCGGCCAATGGCGGGGCGCCATCGTCCGGCGGTCCGCCCCATGCGATCTGTCGAGGCTGCGAACGGGCGTGGCTGGGCGGGATGGTGACATCAGCCCTTCTCTCGGCCAATGGGGAGGCGGCGAGCGCCTATATAAGGGCGGTCGGGGGCAGGCCGAGAGGCGCCATTTCGTTGTAGCTAAGGAAGGAGCTCTTCTCTGCGCGCGCGAGGGGAGCCCAGCGCGAGTGCGGCGAAGAGGGGGGCGGACTCTTATCCGGAGAGATCGTCGTCGCCGACGGGCCCCAATCGCCAGCCGTCCAACTCGGATCCTCCTTCCGGCTTCCGTAGCGCTGGCCGCCCCCGCCCGTCCCACCCTTCAGGGAGAGCCCGCCGGCCGCGGCGGGGGGCGGCCACCCCCGGGCGCCCCCCCCCCCCCCCCCCCCCCGCCTTACAATCCACTGCCATCCGCGGCTCCGCTCGCTACGACCGTCCCGGCTCCCGGCGCTTCCGGACGCGGCGGCTCCCGGGACAACGCGAAGCCCCGTATTTCGTGCCCCGCGGCAGGCCCGGCGTCCCCTGAGGGCGTCGCGAGCGGGAACTCGCCTGCAGCGCCGCACAGCTGCGGAGGGCCGCCATTTTCTGAGCTTTTGCGCCGTTCGGCCGACCGAGGAACGACAGGAGGAGGAGGAGGAGGAAGGCCCGGCGCTCCCGCGCGGCCCGCCATGCAGCGGCCCCTCCCCGCGATGCGCCTGTGAGAGCCGCGCGCCCAGCAAAGGTGGGGGGCTCCCCCGAGGCCACGGAGGCGCCGGGGGCGGCGGCGGCTGCAGCGGGACCCTCCCGGGAGAGAGCCGGCGGCGGCGGAGCATCGGCGGGCATGCTGCAGAACGTGAACCCCAACGGCAAGTAGGTACCGGCGGGCAAGAGAGGCAGGGAAGGGAGGAGGAGGGGCGGGGCTGGGCCCGGCGGCGGGATTGCCTAGCAACCGGCCGCCCTCTTGCAAGCCTTCCCCGATGGGAGGGAGGTTCCCGCTTGGGTCGGTGCAGGGAGGAAGGGAGCGACCGGGCACCGGCCTCTCCCAGGTTTGATCGCTCTTGCTGGGTCAGCGCTTGGGGTTCTCCTGCCCCGGTGGATCCTCGCCCCGCTGAGCGCCCGTCGCTCCCGCCCCCCCCGCCTTTTTGCAGGCTGCTGGGCGAGGGCAATGCCGGCCTGGTGGGCCTGGCGGTGGAGTCGACGCCGGGCAAGCGGATCCGCAAGCCGTCCCTGCTCTACGAGGGCTTCGAGAGCCCCACCATGGCCTCCGTCCCGGCCCTGCAGCAGCAGCAGCTGTCGCAGGCCGTCCCGGCTCCTCCCGAAGTCACCAACCCCAAGAAGCCCGGCCGGGTCACCAACCAGCTCCAGTACCTGCACAAAGTGGTGATGAAAGCCCTCTGGAAGCACCAGTTCGCCTGGCCTTTCCGCCAGCCGGTGGACGCCCTCAAGCTGGGGCTCCCGGTAACCGACCCTCCTTCCCTGCTCTTGGGGGGTGGGGGGGGGGGGGTTTGTTGTGATGGGGGGCTGCGGACGGGCACATCCCGCTTGGCTGCTCCTGGCTCTTTCCCCGCGAAGCCCCTCCCTGGGTGGGCGAGCGCAGGGCACCTGGTCCATCGTCTCCGGCTGCTGCCGCCGCCACCACCACTGGGTCGGCTTTTTGTCTCAGTCTCCCCCCCCCCCGGTCAGGAGGCCGCTTCCCTTAGCGGAGCGACAGTCAGTCAGGGTCCTTGTGAGTGGTTAGGGTCTCTTCCCACACGCACCCCCACAACCACCCTGAGAGTGTCTGGGTGGGGGGGGGGGCCGTGTGGAGGTTGCGGCTGGTCCTCCTCCCTCATGTCCCTACAAAGGCATGGATGAGAGGATGGAGCTGCTTTCTGCGCCCTTCCCCTTCTAATCTCTTGTGACCTGAATGCGTTTTGCAGATTTCCCATCCATGACTTTGTAGAAGACATCAAGCGGCCCCCCCAAATTAGCGGTCGGCACCTAAGGAGTTAAAGCCCGGAGGTAAAATTGTTTTTGCCCACCAAGGTGGCTACGTAGCAGCGCAGTCCTTTGAGTAGGGTTGATCCTTGGGGGGTGGGGGTGGGGGGGCGGAAAGCTTTCTCAGGTGTCCCCAAGGCCAGAAGGGAGTGAGGGAGGGGGCTTCCTTGCGTGTTGGCCAGATTTTCAGTCCGCTTTAAAAGAGCCAGGCAGGGTATCTTGTCCTCCCACGTGCGTTGTTGCCCGAGGGCTGCTTAGTTGCAAGGTTGCCTAGACAGTGAGGGGCACCCCTGGGTGTCTGGCTGCGGCTTGCATTGCTGCGTGAGGAGCGGCTGCGGTGTCCCTGATGGCCAGGGCCTGCGTGTCCCCCCCCCCCCCTCTCCGCAGGACTACCACAAGATCATCAAGCAGCCGATGGACATGGGCACCATCAAGCGGCGCCTGGAGAACAGCTACTACTGGAGTTCGGCCGAATGCATGCAGGACTTCAACACCATGTTCACCAACTGCTACATCTACAACAAGGTGAGCCCAGAGACGAGGCTTGCTTGGAGCCACCTCTGGGCGCTCCTGGTCCCCCCTTCAAGGGACGAAGGCCTTGGCTTTGAATGGCTTGCTTTTAATCCTGAGCACCAGGTCCCTAATTGGCTACGGCCGTGCCGAGTGTGAGTTCAGATCTGCAGGAAGTTTTGCCTTGGTTGTTCTAGTGCAGATGGGCCATCGTGGGAGGAAGTTGTTTTCTTGTTGTACAAAGGTCTGGTTCAAGCTAATTTTGGGGATCCATTGGGAAATAAGAACCGTAACCTCAGTTATGTGGACTGTTGAACCCTCATCCGCTCTTTTTGGAAAGCTTTTGCGGGCACCCCTGTTTTGGCGGCGCAGTCTTGAGTTGTTTTTAGCGCTGAGCTTTTTAATATCGGCTCTGTCTGAAGGTTTTGGTAGGAAAGCGGTGCTTGAAGCGGGAGCAGCATCCGTCTGCAAAGCTTTTGACTGCAATCTGCTCCTTGCCCTTTGGCTGATTGTTGCTCGTTGCAGCCCACAGACGATATTGTGCTGATGGCCCAGACGCTGGAGAAGATCTTTCTGCAGAAAGTGGCCCAGATGCCTCAGGAGGAGCAGGAGATTGTCATCACGGTGGCCAAGAACAGCCACAAGAAGGGAGCCTCTCGGGCAGCAGGTAAGCAGAAAGGCGCAGAGGTCCAGGCACTAGGTTGGGGGGGGGGGAACAACCCAGGGGAAGGTGTTGAACCCTGTGTCCCCTTACAGGTGTGTGTGCTCTGGTTGGGAACGGGCCGTGGGGGGGGGTGGACTTGCTGCTTCGGCTAATCTCTGGCGATTCTCTTCCCCCAGCCCTCCTGGCCGCAGCCAATGCCGCCGCCCAGCAAGTTCCGGCCATCTCTTCGGTGTCCCACACCGGGTTGTTCTCCAGCAGCACAGACATCCCTACCACCATCATCAGCATCCCCCACCCCTCCGTCATCTCCACCCCTCTCCTCAAGCCACTGCACTCCACCGCGGCCTCCCAGCCGCTGCTGGCTGTCCCTGCGCCCACGCACCCGGTGACCAAGGTGAGCTCGGAGCCCCAGGCCGGGGGCACCAGGGTCGGCTAGGTAGGAAGCCCGGGAGGTGGGCCCCCAGGGGCTTTGGCTGCCGCCCTCTGGAAGAGCGTGTGGTCCCATCGGCATTCCCCCCCGCCCCCCCCCAAGCTACACTACAGCACCCTGGGAACTCACCAAAAGCTGCTTTCTTGCCGTCCCCAGAAAAAAGGCGTCAAGCGGAAAGCGGACACCACGACTCCCACCCCCACAGCCATCATTGCCACCAGCGGGGGAGAGTCTTCCCCCTCCGCTGCCATCTTGGAGACCAAGGCAGCCAAGATTCCCGCCCGGAGGGAGAGCGGGCGCCCCATCAAGCCTCCCCGCAAAGACCTGCCGGATTCGCAGCAGCACCAGACGTCCAAGCGAGGCAAGCTCTCGGAGCAGCTCAAGTACTGCAACGGCATCCTCAAGGAGCTCGTCTCCAAGAAGCACGCGGCCTACGCTTGGCCCTTCTACAAGCCCGTCGACGCTTCCGCGCTGGGTCTCCACGACTACCATGAGATTATCAAGCACCCGATGGATCTCAGCAGCGTTAAGGTGAGCTGGAAGGGCGAGGGACGGGTTAGGGTTCCCTTGAATTGCTGGGGGGTGGGGTGGGGGAGAACCTTGGGAGAGGGGAGCCCCCAGGAGGGGGATGGATGGCAGCAGGCAGTCTCTCCTTGGGCGGGGAGAGTGCAGGGACAGAGCCAGGCGTCAGGCAAGGAAGTCCCTGGTGGCTTCCTTTTCCTCACTTTTGCCTCCCTCCTCTGGGTGAGATGAATCTTATCTGTGTTGCACCTTCTATGTTGTTTCCTTTGTAGCCTCCCTTCGTTAGTTTTACAAATGACTCCAGTGGGGGAACACAGCAAGACACAATTTTCTGGTTTTCCCTCATAACGTTGTGGGTTGGGTTGAAAGAGGGACTTGCAGTTTCCTGCTTTCTAGCCCGGTGCTTTTGGCCGCTAGACCAAACTGGCTTTCTGTGTAGAGTACTAGCGTTTAAAAGAGGGGAGCTTATGCTTCCCTGCCCCCTAAAGGCGGCCATCCTTTTTCTTCCTTTTCTTTGCAATAAAAGAGTGTAAAACCCGGGCCGAGAGAGAGAGAGAGAGAGAGAGAGAGAGGGTGGGGAAAGGCTGGGCGTAGGGCATAGCAGAGGAACGCCCCCATCCCGCCCCGCCCCCTGAGCATTTCCTCAACAGTAAAAGGACATTTCCAAAAATGCTGCACTTCTGCTTGGCGGCCTTGCTTTTGCAGGCATGATATTCTTCTGATTAAAATTGGAATTCTGATTTTTTGGGGGAATCGCCCCCTCCTTTCCCCCCACCCCTTCTTCTCCTCCTTCCCCTCCCCTCGGAGGCCCTGAGTCAGGAGTTGCTGGCGCGGCTCCAGTCCCGCGTTGCCTCAGGAAGGGAAAGGCAAAAAGGAAGAGCCGCGGCGGCGCTTTGCAACGGCAGCAGCGGCTCCTGGTTTTGCCTTTCCCTTCCCGAGGCAACGCGGGACTGGAGCTGCGCCGGCGGTAGCAACTCTTGACAGCCTCAGCCGGATACCTGAGCGGAGCCCGGGCGGTGCGAGCGGAGGCCGCTGAGCGGCAGCAAAAGGGAGCTGGGCCAGCCACAGACCAGCCTCCGTGCAACACGCCGCCGCCCGGCCCTGGCGAGGGAAAGCAGCGGGCGCTCCCTGGGCGCGCGGCGGGGGGTCTCTTGGCCGGCCCCGTGTTTTTTTTCAGAGCGGAATATCATGCCTGCTTTTGGTGTAGGGAAGGATGGCAAATTATATAGTGCTGGATATTATTTCCAGGCACCCATGTCAAGTAGTTCAGCTGGTGTGCAGGAGGGGCACGAAAGTGGTGGGTAGTCTGGGTGATGAATGATGGGGTGGGCTCGCTAGACTCCACTTGGCCATGTCCCCGGGACACTTTGCGGAAGGCTAGAGGGACGACCTGCAGCATCCTCAATTGGGAATTCAATGGGTCCCGTGGGGAGATTTTGTTGCCAAGAGATTGTACGGCCGTCTTGCGAGTGCGTTGAAAGCTCTGGATTTCGTGGCCTCACGGTGTTCCTTCCCCCCTCATTTCCCTCCCCTTTGTCCCTCCGGCCTCAGCGCAAGATGGAGAACCGGGAGTACCACGATGCGCAGGAGTTTGCCTCCGACCTGCGGCTGATGTTCTCCAACTGCTACAAGTACAACCCTCCTGACCACGATGTGGTGGCCATGGCCCGCAAGCTGCAGGTGAGCCGTGAGAATCCAATGATTGGGGGGGTGGGGAGCCTTTTGGTGGCCAGAGCAATAATGGGATTTTGTCTCCGTGCTCGTCCTGCAGGACGTCTTTGAATTCAGCTACGCCAAGATGCCTGATGAGCCTCTCAACATCAGCCCCCCCTCAACCTCACTCCCGCAGCCGGGTCTTCTGATGAAGTCCTCCACAGATGACTCCTCCAGCGACGAGGAGGAAGAGGATGACGACGAAGAGGGGGACGACGACGAAGAGGGAGATGAAGATGAGAGCAGCAGCGAGAGCTCCTCGGATTCCGAGGAGGAGAGTTCGGACTCCGAAGAGGAGCGGGCCAATCGGCTGGCTGAGCTGCAGGAACAGGTGAGGCAGCCCCCACCACCACCACCACCACGGCCTTTGTGGGAGCCAGGGGAGAGAAGGGAGAGGGCCCTGGGTAATTTCTCCTTCCGCCTTTCCTCCTCCAGTTGCGGGCAGTGCACGAGCAGCTGGCCGCCCTCTCCCAGGGGCCGGTTTCCAAGCCCAAGAAGAAGCGCGACAAGAAGGAGAAGAAGAAGAAGAAAAAGTCGGACAAGCGCAAAGCCAAAACGGGAGACGAGGAGGGCCGCGCTCACCCGGCCCAGCTGAAGAAGTCGAAGAAGGCCGGCGGAGGCGGCGGGAGCAGCGGCGGGAGCAAGTGAGTAGCAGGGATATGTGGCGCGAGGGGGGAAGACGTCAGCTGGGTGATGACTCTCTTTCCCCGGCGGATCGACCGTGGCGAGCTCTGTGTGTCAAAACAAGCCAAGACAGTCTGACAGCTGCTGCTCCTTCCCTCCCCGACCCCCTTTTCTGGCGGGCGAGGGCCGGTGGGCTTGCCCGTCACCTGAACGCCCCTCTCCCCCTCGGCCAGGAACACCAAGAAGTCGGTCCCCAAGGCGGTGGTGGCTCCCCCGATGCCCGTGCTCTTTGACTCGGAGGAGGAGGAGGAGAGCAAGCCCATGAGCTACGACGAGAAGCGCCAGCTCAGCCTGGACATCAACAAGCTGCCCGGGGAGAAGCTGGGCCGGGTGGTGCACATTATCCAGTCGCGGGAGCCCTCCCTGAGGGACTCCAACCCGGAGGAGATCGAGATCGACTTCGAAACCCTCAAGGCCTCCACGCTGCGGGAGCTGGAGCACTACGTCCTCTCCTGCCTGCGCAAGAAGCCTCGGAAGCCCTACAGCGAGAGTGAGTCTGGGCGCGGCACTCCCAGGGGGCGGTGGCGGGAGGGGGATCCTCACAGCCTGGCTCTGATGACGCCCAAGGGGCTGGGCCTGCAATTGGAGAGGGGGGAGGGGGCTGGCAGAAAGGGGGCCCCTCTGGACTAGGCTGGCATATCTGGCCTTGCCCTGTTTCATGGCAGGCAGGCCAGGTACCCCCAGGGGGACGGGAAAAGAGAGAAAGATGCGTGTCTCGTCCTGCCCCCGTTTGTCTCCCGCGTTGCCTTTGGTTTTGCAAAACAGCCTGGATTGGTCCTCCTCCTCCAGTGGTGGTGGCGGCTCTATGTTGCTGCTCTAGGGCTCCTGGGAGGGTTTCAGGGCTAGGTTCAGGCAGCCCCTCTTCTCCACACACACACACACACACACACACACACACACCCCGGGTAGAGATGGCGTCTCTCTTCACGGCGCAGGCAGTCCTGATTCCAGGGAGGGTTTCATGCTGGCCTTGTTTACCAGAGAGCCTGGATAGGAAAACCACAGAAGGATTTTTCTCTTGGGCTGGGGGGAGGGGAGGGAAGAAATCTCTGGGTATAGCATCAGCATGATAACCACGGCTGTGACCTTCCCCATCCTGTCTACTTGGGGAGGAGTTTTGCAGCCCTTGAGGGATTCCTTTAGAAAGCAGCAGCTGCTTTGCAACCTTGAATTTTGCATTCCTCCTCCTCCTCCTCCTCTTGTGGGTCTTTGTCCTTGAACTCCCTCCTCCTCTGGGCAGCTGGATTTGCCTGGGAAAGCCTCCCCATCATCGCCTGGGCCTGCCCAGCCCTGTCGTTTTAGGAGGGGCTGTGCCCATTGGTGGTGCTGGCCTCACTGCCCAGGTTGCCATTTTGAAGCTCCCCAGCTGTGGAGGGGAGCAGGAAACTCTCTTAAAAAGACAAACCCTTTAAGGATTCTGGTCTCAACTTGGATTTCCTCCGAAGGTCCTGATCAGTGGTGTTTTAGGCAGGGCTTAGTTGCATCCCCTTCCAGCCCACTTCCTCCACTGCACATCACGCTGCCCCAGATGCCCCCTGCGGCTCTTGCTGCTGTTTTCTCCAGTGGAGGAGGAGGAGGAGGGCGGGGGAGCATCCATCTTGCCCTTCTCTTCCCAAGGTTTGGCTCCCACAAGGCCTTTTCAGGACTGGAGACCCTGGTTGCTGGGCTCACCTTTGACAATACCAGTTGTTGGGGTTTCTTTTAACCACGGTTTAACCAGAGTTGGGTGGGCTCATAGACCACGCAGCCTGGAAACAAGGCTTGCTACGGGGTAGCAGTAGGGGTCTCGGACCCCAGCTGGATGGCCTCTGTTGCCGGACGGCTTGTCCTTTGCCGGCTGAAGCAGCCCAGCAGGGTTTGTGCATGTGTGGCTAGCCCCACGGGAGTCCCTTGACCAGGATTCTCTCCTCCGCAGCCCTGAAGAAGCCGGTGGGCAAGACGAAGGAGGAGCTGGCCCTGGAGAAGAAGCGCGAGCTGGAGAGGCGCTTGCAGGATGTCAGCGGGCAGCTGAACTCGGCCAAGAAGCCGCCCAAGAAAGGTCAGTCGGTCTCCAGCCGCAGCAGGCGCCGTGGGCTCTGGGGGAGGGACGGGTTTTGTTTTTTTTTGCCTCTCCTGGTCCAAGGCTGACCACCTTCCTGTCCCTCGTTCCCTCCTCCTCCTGCAGCCAATGAGAAACCGGAGTCTGCCCAGCAGCTGCCCATCTCCCGCCTGAGTGCCAGCAGCTCCAGCTCCGACTCCAGCAGCTCCAGCTCCTCCTCCTCTTCCTCGGACACAAGCGACTCGGACTCCAGCTAGGCGGCCGCGGGGGCGAGCGAGGAGAGACGGGACGGCGGGAGGGAGGCGCCGGAAGAGGAGGCCGGTTCCGCAGGATCGGAACCCGGAAGAGCGGGACGAGCGAGGGGCTTCCCCCCCCCCCCGGGGGGGGTGTCAGCGTTGGGAAGGCTCGGCCGCTGGCTCCCCTCTCCTCCCCACTGGACCGCGGTGGGGGCGACAGCTGGTCCCCCACCCTGTTTGTGCTTCGGTTGGAGGGGGGGGCGCTGGGACTGTGTACAGGTTGTTCTAGGAGGGGAGGCCGCCTTGAACTCCAAAGCCTTTGTGTAGTTTTTATCCGGCATTTAGCGAGTTTTGAGTTTGGTGACGCTCTTTCTCCGGAGAGACAGAAGACATGGCCTGGGGTGGGGTGCGCTTTCCCCCCCACCTCCGTGCTCCGGCTTGGAGCCCCCTCCCCTCTCAGGTGGGGGAGGGGAGGAAAGTTGCCTCCTCCTCACTTACTCCCCCCACCGGCACTCGAGGTTCTTTATTTATTCCCCTCCCCCCCCCCTTCTTCTCCCCTCGTTGGCTTCCCTGGACCCGGAGTGAGTGCAACCGTGTTATGTCCTTGGCACAATCGCCACCGCATGTTCTTTGCCCCTCGGGGGCGGCTGCCCTTCGGAAGAGGAGAGGCGGCCCTCTTGAGTTTTTTTTACGTTGACTGTATATTTTTTCTACTGTTTCTTTGATTCCCACTTATTCATCTTCTAGGACTCTGTTCCATCTTACTGTATGTTAAATCTTCTGGTTCTTTAACATGTAAATAAAACAAAAAATGGTACAAGCCAGTGTCTATAGGGGCTGAGTGGGGTGTGCAGAGGTTGAAGGGTGAGCTAAGGCAACCCTGGGAGTTGAGGGCATAAAAGGGGACCTTGTTCCCCTCCTCTGTTCTAGAGAGAATCTGCAGGGGGTCTCCCCCCCCCCCCCCCCAAGCCCAGCCCATCCTTGAGGGTCCCCAAGAAGGTGAACATCCCACATTCCAGCAACTGGCCTGTTGGGGATCACAAAGGGGGGAGGGGTACAGTCTCTTCCTGTCCTCGGATGCTCCTTTGGTGCAGGAGAAACCCCGCGGCCGTTTGGGTGCTGCGTAGAAGGTTTTAAGTTTTTATACACGGTTTTTCCCTTGGAGGGAAAGATTGGAAATGTTCTGTCTTTAAAATTGCCGGCTGAATATAAAGACAGACCAGGCAAACTCTACAAAGGCTTCCATACGAAGTTTCTTTATTGGAATCACAAGGCATCCTCAAGGTATAACTCACAGTTATGTGGAGATTCATCTTAAATCTTGGTGCACAGTTGACTTCGTAGTGTGAAAGTATGGTGGTCTTCGTCCCATAATTCTGGGGTTTCCCACTGTGGAGGGAAAGATTGGAAAGCCGCTTCCGTTTTCCTCGCCGATATCTGCCCCCGTCCACTTCACGGCCCCTGCCCTGTAACGATTCAGCAGGACTCCTTTTGCCATAATGGGGCCTGCCCAGCCTGGTCGCAAAACAGATCACCCCAATGGGTGCTTTTTCAAAAGGCAACTGGACTTCCTTTGTTTTGCCTTGAAAAGATTTTGCTTATCATCCCTCGGTTCAACTGAAGGAAGTGAAACGTCTTCAAGGAAAAAGAAAGGAAGTGCCGTTAGTTGCCTTTTGAAAAAACCACCATTGGGACAGCTGTGATCTGGATCATAGATAAAATGTCACATATTTTTTATTTTTCCAGGGTTTTTTGGGTGGCAGCCATTAAGCAAATCTTTGCC